AGTCACAGGAATAGATTTGTTGCAGATGCCCATTTAGTCTGGCTGAACAAAGCCTAAAACAAATGGCTGAATTAGGATAAATTACATTCAGGGCTGTAACATGAATTGCCCTTTGCCACTTTTCTCCTTGGTTGTTCCCTGCAGACTGTGCTATTCCCACTGTCTGAATCCCCTCCTCTCTGGGGTAATATCTGACATCATGCAAAAGCTGTGTTGGCTTTGGATGAACAGATAGAACTGAACCTCTTTCTATTGTCCTTACCTTATCTTCAATTTTTCCTTCTTCCCCTGCCACTTCCCGCCCCTGCTTTGCTCCCTCACAGCTTTCATCTCACCAGCTCTCGGCCCTTCACCTCTCCTCACTCTCCTGCTGCTGGGTCTGCTCCCCCACCCTTCCTTGGCCCCTCACTCACTCCTCAGCTCAATGCTGTCACTTCTTCATTCCTCTTCACAGGTCTAGGGCTCCCCGCTCTTTCTGTGCCACTTACAGACTAACACATACCAGTCTGTGGGTCCCCCCAGCCGCTACAAATCCCAGCCTCTCTCATTTATCTGTCATGGGCTCCCTCTCACCCACCTTTCCTATGACTCAAGGGCTCTGAAAAACAAGGCAGGAGCGCTCAACCTGCGGTCAGTCCACTGTGCTGTGTCAGGAAGTCTGCTACAATTTTCCGGCAGTCTCTTTGCATCCCACATGGTTTGGGTACCATGCCAATTAATGAAGGGCTCTGTTTGTCACTTTGGCAGGATGCGTTACTGTCCTTAATATTGACTGACACCAGGACAGAGCCACTGTCCTGAGGCTCTGGTAACAGGATTTCAGGAAATGCTTTCCCTTCATCTGTCAAAGAAATAAATCATCAAATAACTGTGTGGGTAATCCAAACCCCCTCAGATTATAAACCTGAATTTGGCATATAATGAAGAAAGTACTCAATCAGCTGAGTCACTGTACATAAAGACATATTGTAGAAGATGCTTCACAATACATCTAACTACTTTTACCCCTAATTATATAAATTTGACAGGTTACTCATTATATTACTGAAAAAAAAAAATAAATGCATTTTAAGTGTAAAAAAACAAACCTTTGCAGCTTGATGTTCCTTGCAAGTCAAATACAATAGATTGTGTTGAATTGCTGTTTCCCGGGAATGCTGCAGCGCATCTGTACTGCTCCTCAGCGCTTCCTCCCAGTTAGCTGACCATGACTTTTCAGTAAGCAAAGAAAAGGCTGCCACTCTCGTATTTCATTATAAGTCAAACACATCCTGTGCTCTGCCATGGGGTCCAATCCAAAGCTTTCCACATCAGCCCACTTCAGAGTGAGTTTCTTAAGATTACACTATCATGCCTCCTTTGCAGCACATATCTCATGTAACGTGAAAATGTTTGGCTTGACAACAGCTACAGGTGTCATCCTCCCCTCTTAGTACTTCCAAAATCCTCACCAAAGATGCTGTGTGTGTGTGCAGGTGAGAAAGAACATGGACAGGCATGGATCAGGGAGAGCACATTGAAACTCAGTGGATCTTGGGCTGTGGGGTGCTGCAGACCGCCCAAAGGCAAGGTGTCTTCAGGAGCTCCTTGGGAGCAGCATGGGACTTGTGGCTGGCAGAGGCATGGGGCTGAGGATGGAGCGGGGCTGAGCTGGTCTGCCAGGGGCAGCCCAAGTATGTATACAAATATATACATATATACACAAACACATATAAAAAGGAATAGCTGCTTTACGGCCCTTACTTGTATCACATCCATAACAGCTTCCTATGGGCTATGCCAAAAAACGCGGCCTATTCTCTCACATGTATTTGCCTTTGACTTCAGTGGATGGCGGATCAGGCCCTGAGGCTGCCCAGTCCACAGAACTGTGCACTCTTCCACGTTCCCATCAGTCCATTTGAAAGGAGGGCATTGATGTGTCTCCATAATGCAGCCATTACCAGCACGATACCAAGACAGATCAATCAAAGGCAACACAACAGCCAGATTCAGAGAATTCCAAAATTGAGGTCAGACTCAATAACTCTTAGACAGACGCCAAGAGAGAGAGACACACATATATACAGGAAGGCAAATTTTAACTGTGCAAACCTAAAAATGTCACTTGTAGTGATGGATTGGATGTGTTTTGGCAAGAACTGTTATTTCCTCCCCCATTACCACCCCTCGCCTCTGCATAAGGTTGGCATAAGGTGCCTTTGCCCTGGTGGTCTGACTCTAACCTTCCCCTTAACACACAGTCCTGAGATTTTACAGCACGAGCCCTGCAAATGGGTGCCCTGCTGCTTTGCTGTGCCCCGAAGGGACTACTGCACTGCTGCAGAATACCTCTCCCTAGGAGAGGCCCATTTCATGACTAAATCCCAGCTCCTGGGACAGTCAGGTGCTGGAGAGCTTCCTTAGGTGAAACACCTCAAAATGTAACTGAGCTCTCATCAGCAGGGATGGGGCGATGGGCGGCTGCCTGGGAAATGCCCTGTTTATACTAGCGCTCCACTGTGGATGAGCTGGTTGTTGCAGTTGCTGGGGATTTACGGACTCCGACATGAAGGCTGAGAAGTCAGAGATTCTCCTAGATTATGGTGCTGGACTTGCACCAGGGAAAATAAAATCCCTGTAAATCCACGCAAACCCACAGTTTGGCTTAATTATCTCGGTTGACCTTGGCTTCCTGTGCATTTTCTGCTCAGCTGTTTGGAGTTGGTAAGCTACTACAAATGATTAATCAAGTCACATTATTGGTAATTATGTGTATCAGAGTGGCATTTAAAAACCCTACCTGCTACAACACCCTACTGCAGTTAAAATTTACAAGCAGACAAACACAGCAAAGATGACTGAATTTGGTGGCGAATGGCAATCCTGATTTCAAGATCAAACTCTGAATCAAACACCAAAAATCCACCTCTAAACTTCCTGCTTCACAATGCATTAAGCACATCCAGCTAGTAAATACTAGTGTAAAATTGCAACACACGCCTCGGTCCCTTTCTGTCACCACAGTAAGTTGCCAACAGATTTCTCCTTCAAAAAGAGAAAAAAGATTAAAAAAAAAATCTTAAGTATCCTAAGATGGTTTACATTGCATTAATTAAATATGGGCTTAGCCAGTGTGTGAATGTGCAATGCACAAGTTTCCAGAGAGCTAGGAATTTATGCATGAAGGCAAGCAGTTTTAGGGACTTTTTCGGTGTTCAAGGACAATCAAAGATGCCACGAGATAAGCTATATTAAGACTCCCAAACAAAAACTGTATGTATCAACAGTAAGTCCACACACCAGAGATCTCGCAATCTATGCAGACAGTGAGAAAAAAGCAGGGGAGGAGGAAATGAGGCCACAAAGTGGTGACTGAAGAGAACTTCACCTGGGTCAAGAGCAGTCTTGTTCCCTTGGCAAGTGTATGACCCCAGTCCCACTGCCTCCTCTAGACTATACTGCCTCATTTTCACTTGTTCTGCTGTTTAACCCCTTGCCTCAAAAAGCAACATAAAAATACACTACTACAATGCCCGCTGATCAGCAGCAGTGGGTTCCCACCTCCTCTCACCCATCAGCTGCAAACTCCTCAATTAAACATTCAGGTCTCTCTCAGACACTGACAACTGCTCAGAACCTGAGCTTCAGAAAGCCTGAGAAGAGCATTTCTCTCCTCCCTTTCTAAGGAGAGGAAATTCCTCTTCATTCGCTAAAGTTATTCCCACTTCTCCATGTGTATGGGTGGGACTTGTACACAAGTGTGTGAAAAATCTGTGGCAAAGAGGAGAAACACACTCAGTCGTCCCACGGCCCATGCCAACCCCTAAGAACTGCAGCATCTTACCTCTGTGATTCCTGTACATCTGCTCCTGCTTATTTGCTGGCTAAGCATAGCGCAAAGTTGGGTTACAGCACAGAGACAAGACCTTATTATCATCCCCCCAAACAATCATCAACAGTGTGTTCACCTGAATGCTTACACAGGATTTCTTTTACCTTTGGCTTTCAGGTTTTGGCTATCCACAAGAAGAGACTCTTAAAACCTAAACCCATTTACTTTTAGCAGAGAGATCCATTTCCAGCACAATTGCTTATGAAACGACTGTAGGGTCCAAGAGCCTTAAAATTCTCCAGCTGCTGAGAAATTACGGATGGCATCTCCAAATGCTGTCAACAGCCAACAAATGTTGCTAGAAAGATCTCTTTAGCATGCATGGATGGATACATCAAGGGCAGTTGTGTCTGTACAAGAGAAATTCCTCTTGCACTGTGCATTTGGGGTTTAAAGTGGGAACACTGCACAGAGACAATTAGCATTTATTTCTAAAACAGGAAACTTGCTTTGCATATTTCATTTTGACACAGTCACACTTTTTTTTTCCCCAAAAAACAAGCTGAATCCTAAAATCCTAACATAGTTTACATATAGACAAAGTCCCAGTAAGTATCCAGTGAAATATGCCTGGGCAAGGGTGAATAAATGCTGATGCTGAATTGTGGTATTCCCAGTCAGATTGAGCAACACATTATTCTGCAAACAGTTGGTGATTTCAAGGTGTCGTTACTTGTGAGCAATAACAGGAGAAGCCATCCTTCATGCACACGCAAATGCACGCAAGAGCAACATGAGCTATCCATGCACAACAGCTGAGTGGTCTCCTATTCCCTTCCAGCCCAGAGGAGCTGAGCGGCTGCTCTACACCAGCCTGTTCTCTCGTCCCCAGAGAGGTGACCCTGTCCCATCTACCAAGAGGCAACAAGGCACCTTCATGCCTTTCCTGAAGTCTTCTCAGAGCACTGCCCAGAATCCTGGGTAAGGATGCAAGCTGTGCAAACCCAGATGAAGATGCAGCCCTTGCTGTGAAGAGCTAGTGCCCTTCCAAGGCACACGCTCCCTCATGTCCGCTCCCCCGTGCCCCGGGGCACGCTTGGCTCCAGCTAACATTTCCCCTTGGAGAAACATCATCCAGTGGTCTGCAGAGCCCCATGTTTTGTGGCAGGGCATCAAGGTGCATTACCTGCGGTCTCTCTGTCCCCTGCCGACAGCTCTCCGTTGATCCCATTCTCTTTGGTCGGAGCGTACGTCCCTGGCTGCTCGTGGCCGCCCAGCCCTGGCTCCTCATCCTCTTGGTAGGGAAATCCATTGGCACTTCTGACCAGTCCAGCACCTGCGCCACCCTGTTCCTTAATTTCAGGTGAATGTGGGTGTGAAGAAGCCTCTGTTAGCTGACCTGAAGTCCAGTGTGGTGCCTTGGCTTCGTCTTTCCTATCCTCCGCCATGTTTTCTTGCCTTCACCACTCGGCCTGTAACGACATTAGCAGGAGAGATCAGCTCCAAGCAGGTGACCATGCCCCTGGCCGGCAGGCAGTGACTGGGCACAGCACAGGCACGTTACCAGCAGCGCTGCCAGGGAAACTCACATCTGGCACATGAGAGAGTTTAAATGCAGAAGTGTCTCTGCTTGTCTGTCCTGGGTGTGAGTGAACTGCTTTAAAACCAAAACAAACCACAAGCGGTAAAAATTATGGGTCAAGTCCTCCCTGCCTCCCATATGCCTTGCAATTATTAGCACCAGTTTCTTGAGGGCTGCCCTTTCGTTAATCTGATTTTAACTCATTAATTACAGTTAAATGTCGACTCATTTAACAAGAAGTGAATCGGTCATCGTAATGCAACATCTTCCCGGGGTGATAAAGGGAAGAATGCCATAACTGTTAAAAGAAGTGAAGCTGCTACTGCAATTTTCATTGCAGCTGCAAAGAGCAGGTGCTCTTCCGGCACAGAACTGCAGGGCGATGTGTCCTCTGAGGCACATGCAATCTGCTGCTAGCCACGACAGAAACCACGTTTGAGAACATTCACTGCGTTCCCGAACATATGTGCTATTTGACTCTGTCTATATTCACTCTTACTTGCTGTTTTGTGAACATTCACACTCGTTCCCTTTTGTCCAAAACAGCCTATGGGGAACAGTTGTTTCCCACACAAGCATTTGCATTCTTTTATGACTATCAGTATTTATACATAAACAAAACTAATCATTATTTGCTACTTCACACATATTTCATTCCTGTTAATTAGCTCGCATTTGTCAAAGCCAGGAAAAGAAGCCACTGCACAAGCTTTGGCTACTCCTCACAAAAAAATGTAGTAGTAGCTCCCCAATATGTAAACCTAGGAAAACAACATATCGTAATCTGTGTTTCCATGATAAAGTAACCTCTGGGGATGAGAGAAAGGCTTGACTTGAGCTAGCTACTTCAAAGTGAAAAACAGCAGGCCTTTTCCAAAAGCACTTGCCACCTTTTTTCTCTTGTGAGAAAAAAAAAAACAAACCACCTAAAAGAAATCAGCTGAACGCAGTCAACCAGCGACGTATCACAGAGTCTGAACAGTTTAGAAAAGAAGGCACAAAACTGGATGGTGCATATATTCTGCAGACATTTAACAAAAACCAACCAACCCGGTTGGTTTTGTGACCCGCCTAGTGGACAAGGGAAAGGCTGTGGATGTGGTCTACCTGGACTTCAGTAAGGCCTTTGACACCGTCTCCCACAGCATTCTCCTGGAGAAGCTGGCGGTTCACGGTTTAGACAGGTGTACTCTGCGCTGGGTCAAAAACTGGCTGGACGGCCGGGCCCAGAGAGTTGTGGTAAATGGAGTTCAATCCAGTTGGCGGCCGGTCACGAGTGGTGTTCCCCAGGGCTCAGTACTGGGGCCAGTTCTGTTCAATATCTTTATCAATGATCTGGATGAGGGGATCGAGTGCACCCTCAGTAAGTTTGCAGACGACACCAAG